TTATTTTTATTTTAAGAATTACATGGATTATTTATCCCGACTGTATGAAAGAGAAATTAAAGATTTCTTTGAAGTTGCAAAGATCAAGATGACTGGCACAACTAAAGAAAGCAAGAAGTTTGGTAAGCTTAGGCATGTCAGTTCGTTGTCTTCCTATTAAAAATGATTCTGTTGATGACAAATGATTCTAAGACTTTTTAAGCAAGGTGGAAGAAGATACAGTAGCGTGAATGAAAGAGGAGGTCTAATATGTTGGCTTGGTGTATAGCTGTTTCATAGAACCAGTATGTACATCTGTAAACTTTTTTTACTAATTAAAATACAACAGTATGTGACTATGACAGCCATTGTGCACGCATGCTGTAATTGAAAAGATACATTCATAGGAAGGGCAGTTGGTGAGAAAAACAAGAGCAGTCAAGTAGAGAAAGTATTAGAGTGAGAGACAGATGTTGAGAGTTCAGTTTCTGATTCCCTGAAAGACCTTTTATAGCAGCTGGGGGCAAGTCACTGATCTCTTAAGTCATTGCTCTCTACAGAGAAATGACAGTGATTCCTGGCTTCTTACTTGTCACTGGCTGTTTTCAATCAAAAAGAAAGTTTGTTTTCTCCCCTACCAAGGGGCTATAAAACTGTCACCAAAATTTCTCCTGTGATTGTACCTGATTTTTCTAAAGAGATGTTTTTGAAACATGTTAATTTTTGTTGCTTCTAAATACTTGAAATGCGCAAAAATGTAAAGAACAGCCAGTGAAAGTATCAAGTTACGAGGAAGGTGATTTGCCGAGGCCACATTCTGCTCTTGCATGTACCCATCTCTGAAGTTCCTTTTGGATGGAGTTCTGTGCCTATTCAAGTCAAGACCTGGCCTTAAGCGGCTACATTGTGTACTCCTTAGTGTGTCTGCCTAGCTCCCCTTTAGAATAATGAGTTCAGCATTTGCTTGTTGAAAGGAGCCTATTCCCTAAGCAACTTCAGTTCATCGCGAAACACAATTGAAAACGGATAACACATGTTTCCATTCTTTAGGCCGAGTGACTGTCTTTAGTGGGTAATTATTTTGTAATTCACTGGGTTTTTTTAAAATGCAACATTAATATATTGGTTATACTAGTCCAGACATTTGAATCGGATTGAATTTGTGTGTAAATATACTACACTTTGGTAAAGATACTGATACACTTGGGACAATAGGCTTTTGGAAACAGAAATGCTAACTCATCCTAAAGGTTAATTGTTCTTAAACAGCAGTGTGTTTATATCCTCGTTAATGTTTCACTGTGGATATGTTATGCTTTTTTTGAGTAAACAGCCTATTATTAACGCAGTTACATGTTTAATGTTTTCATTAAGTATTTTTGTCACCACTTGTTAGTAAACCATTTTATTTTGAGAGAATTCTTCTTCAGTATATGAAAAATGGAAGTAAAAGGGAAATATTTCTAAAATTATCTCTTGAGTAGGCATTAATCCCAGTATCATTATATATTAGTTTATCAAGTCTAAGATTCACATTAAGATAAATGAAATCATAAAAATATAACAAAATGCAGTAGTATCTTAATGTT